TACACATTGTTTCCTTAATTAATGTGTGCGCATTTATTATTATTTTTTTGTTTATAAAAGCTGGATTATGCGGCTTGCAAGTCCTCAGATGTGATGATTGTATTTTGTTTTTTTAATCCAGGCTTTTTTCTCTGCTAACCATGTCAGTAACACTCTTCCTGTCCTAGGGCGACAACGCTCACATACTACAGTAACTGTGAATGGACACCTGTCTGGTAAGAACTGGTTAGCTGCAATATATTAAAGGCATAATCCACCTTCTATGAAAAAAAAAAAAAGTATTTATGTAGTTTTAGAAAATATTAGTTTCACAGTAGGGCAGGAAATGTATTAGAAATACAGAACACCAGAACTGGGTAGGGCTGCACAGGAAGATACAAGCTTACTGGATTTCTTCATTGACAGGGGTTACATATACTGTAACTAGGGATGCACCGATACTTTTTGAGTACCATTGCTGATGCTTGGCATTTTCATGAGATCTACCAGTGTTGCAGCTGGGACCTGCCTCTGGCGCTTTACCGCTGTCCTGAAATCATTTGTCGATAATGTTTTAGAAAAACTGTTACATGACAATAAAACAGAAATGTATCAGTACTCGTACTAGTAAGTACTTGGGCAAGTATCAGTACTTGTACTTGCAAAAATGGTATTGATGCATCCCTTTCTTTTTATTTTTAAAAAATCAATCATACATCAAAACAGAGATGTACCAATCCGAGGCGCTCCCGTGTGCTCCTTACAAATGACAGCTGCCTCCTAACTTCTGAATTTTTCTCTGGTCTAGTCTTGGAGCTGGAAAAAGTATCTGTACTTGTACTGAGTACGGTACTTGGTATCCATGCATCCCTAACCAAGTTTTCCTGTTATTACCTAGTATGAATTTTTGTTTAATGTTATTTTTGTTCCAACAGCGCAAAAGTTGAACTTACGTACGAAAAGTCGATCGCATACGATTATCGTACGATAATCGTAAGGTGTATGGGCACCTTTAGACTGTCTGAGCACATAAATAGTCTACCATAAAAAAATTTAAAAAACGTGCCTGTAGGGCTCCCTGGTAATACCATAGTAACGCCTTAGGGCCAAGGCAGCTCTAATCAGAGGGCTTGTGATTGTATGACTGATCACATTTACACAACTTTTTAGCTGAGACATTAAAAAGCCCTGCTATCTTCCGGTTAGGACAACCTTGCAGACATCTGGCCAGAGAGGACATTGTGATAAGAAAAAAATCATAAAAAGTGGGTAAGTGCTTCATACAATTACCTTGACATAAAGGACTGAAGACAAAAGGCATGTGTTTTACTGTGCAATCTGAATTAAACAGTCTGCTGCACAGTGTATTAATATGACATCCATAATAACTGTTTTGACAACTGAGTGGTGAGGAAATCTAGGTTTCATTTTGACAGCTGTCTGAGCCAATCAAAGTGTTCCACGTATGTGAAGGATACTGTCTGCAAAAATTAGAGGTTGTTGGAGCAATGATTGCAGTCACCGGTCAGATCTAGACTACAATTTATTCTCACGTAATGAATACATTGTGTTTAAAAATAAAATTTTAATCCCATATACCTGACAGAACGTGGCTATCATGCCAATAACCTTGTATACCACTAGGTTACCTAGCAAGGTACCGTAGGATTGACTTGAAGCTCATCTTGAAGCTGGAAATGTTTTACCTTTTTAACAAGTGTTTTCAAATAAAAGGTCATCTTCTGCATTGCTGAGGTATCCTCTACCAAAGTTACACTTCAGTGGCTATGTCTCAAATATTTCATGTCCAGGGAACAGGAACCTGTCCTGACCGGAGGACACCACAATCTATGTGCAGCAGGGTGGCTAGTGTCCTCAACATCACTAGAAGCTTTAAGCAAGCAGCGTTGGCATCACTCTCACATTGCATGCAGTAGTAGGATCATTTCAGGATAAAAAGGTGGAGTCTTTTTCCACCCAACCCCATCTCAGCAGCCTCTCTCTGCCGCTATGTTGGCACGCAACGCTAGGGCATTGAAAGGTTAGTGTAACTCACTGGACGTCTGAACAAAATACTACATGTAGTCTCTCTCTGCTATTTTTGCTGATGGGGGGTCCTGTAGTCCCTAAGTGCTCAGGGGCTCAGGATAGGCATAGGTATGAAGATTTGAGTATGAATGATGATGTTTTGGGCTAAAGAGAAGTCTACCCTCCTAATGGAAATAGGCACGATAACATTTTGTGTGGGTACAAGCTATGCAAATAAGGTCGAAGGTACAGGGAATATATTGGTTTGGGTTAGATTGGACTAGAGTTCAGCTTGAAAGTGTGCTTTTAGTATTAAAAAAAAGCTACATCTTTCCTTGGCGAGGTTTTTTTTGAACTAGCTAGATGGTACAAAGAATTTGCTTGAAAAATAATGTACCGCTTTTGGTACCTAAAATCCTGAATAATCATACCGCCAGGGAGGTTAAGTTATCCAGTGACTATGATACTGTCACAAGGGGCAGAGTTTCTAGCTGGCTCAGGGGGCGCAGTTTCTAGCTGGCTCAGAGGGCGTGGGAAGGGGGCGCAGTTTCTAGCTGGCTCAGGGGGCGCAGTTTCTAGCTGGCTCAGGGGGCGCAGTTTCTAGCTGGCTCAGGGGGCGCAGTTTCTAGCTGGCTCAGGGGGCGCAGTTTCTAGCTGGCTCAGGGGGCGCAGTTTCTAGCTGGCTCAGGGGGCGCAGTTTCTAGCTGGCTCAGGGGGCGCAGTTTCTAGCTGGCTCAGGGGGCGCAGTTTCTAGCTGGCTCAGGGGGCGCAGTTTCTAGCTGGCTCAGGGGGCGCAGTTTCTAGCTGGCTCAGGGGGCGCAGTTTCTAGCTGGCTCAGGGGGCGCAGTTTCTAGCTGGCTCAGGGGGCGCAGTTTCTAGCTGGCTCAGGGGGCGCAGTTTCTAGCTGGCTCAGGGGGCGCAGTTTCTAGCTGGCTCAGGGGGCGCAGTTTCTAGCTGGCTCAGGGGGCGCAGTTTCTAGCTGGCTCAGGGGGCGCAGTTTCTAGCTGGCTCAGGGGGCGCAGTTTCTAGCTGGCTCAGGGGGCGCAGTTTCTAGCTGGCTCAGGGGGCGCAGTTTCTAGCTGGCTCAGGGGGCGCAGTTTCTAGCTGGCTCAGGGGGCGCAGTTTCTAGCTGGCTCAGGGGGCGCAGTTTCTAGCTGGCTCAGGGGGCGCAGTTTCTAGCTGGCTCAGAGTACGGGGGTTATAGCAGGCTCAGCAGGCAGGGTTTCTAACAGGCTTAGGGGAGAAGGGTTTTCTTTTTTAGCAGGCTCAGAAGTGATGTTTCTAGCAGGCTCAAGAGCCCTTTCTTGCATGCTAAGGATTCCCTGCATTTTTCTTACTTTGTTTTTAAGAACTATACATGCCGTATTACACTGCTTCCAGCAAGCAGTGATATCACATGTAGGGCATGTCCTGTACTGACTCCTGAAACTCCTCTTGTTCAGCACTTCTGTAGTTCAGGAGGCAGGCACTGTGAAATGGGTGACACAGCAGTGCATACACAGGGCATAGTTAATGTGTCACTGCATTAAAGAAAGTAAATCATGTGGGATTCTTCAAAAAGTTTACAAACTTCATCATTTTGATTAACAGGGGGTGGGCTAAAACTAATGGAAATTCAATGTGGAAAAATGAATATATGATTTTGCAGTTTGACCAGAGATACACTAACAATGGCACAAACCATATCTGCTTCATATAAGCTATGAAGAATGCTATCATTGTCAGAAGAAGCAAAATCATTTGATGCAACATAAAAAAATATATACATCAGCAGTCCCACAGGGGTGCAAACAAAAGGCAAAGCATTACACAGATATTACACATATACAAAGTACTACCTGCCTTTACAGGAGGACCAACATATCCAATATTGTTATTTTAAGAAACATTGCCATGTACGGTGATGTGAAAAAGTAAGTACTCTGCACAAACATTGTTGACTTTTTCAACATTTAAGTACATTAAGATTTAACGTTAGACTGTTACAAAATGTTGAAAACTCAACAATTCCCATAGGGCGCACCTACTTTTTGACATTACTGTACATCACCCATGGCCCTATGCAAACCAATGAACTTTTCTGTGGTCAAATAAACCGAGTTTGAGCTCCCTTCTTCCTATGTTACCAGCTACACATCATCTGTAAAGAAATTAAAAGCATTCTGAAAGTGCTGTCAATGCTTAGCACGACCAACTCATAACATAACAGCATCTTGTTGCGTCTGTACTCGCATGCCAAGCCATCAGAATGAATGCCATTAGAAAGCATTCTGGCAGAAAAAAAGATTACTGCCCTGCAAACATTACCACCCTCATGGATAGAACTGGGAAATGTCATGCCAAAACAGGCATACCACATGCCTTCTGTCCATACTGGACTACCCATATCTCATACAAATATACAAACAGCCAGCTTCTTTCTGCCTCTTTGTGCTGTATCAGTTGACTTGCCTATAAAGCTTCAAGCCAGAGCGGCACAATGGTATTGAAGTGCTGCCTGCTTTTAAATGTAACAGCAGACATCTGTTATTTCACACAAGATCCAACTCTGTATTTACAGCAATGAGCTACAAGCACAGCACTGTTCATACGTCTACAACTCCCTTGTGGGATGCATTGAAATTTAGAAGGATGCTGAGAATGCTAGATTTTAGATGTGCTTATATATCTGGTTATCTGCAAATCCTAAAGATAACGGGATGCAATTTTGCAGAAGTGAATATAAATCATAGTTTTATTTAAACTGTGCAATCCTATACATTTAATTAAAAAGCTCTTTAGGTTTTCAGAAATGATTTGGCTGCATTCCAGGCTGGCAAATCAATAGAGTAGCTGATAGACCACATTCAATTTATTAGAACATCACTTCTGTGTATCGGACGTCACATGCTTGTCAACCAGATACCCTGCTTATTGTCCCGCCAACATCATGCACTGTGTGCTTGCAGAGCAGAGGCTACTGGGGGAAAAAGTGGGAAAAGACAAAAGCTCACCAATATTAGGATGCTTCAAAAGGCGGCAAATCCGAGCCTCGCGTTCCAACTTCTGGTGGTCTGCAAAAGAGAAAGTGAACCAGTGAGCTGACAATGTTCAAGAATGAAAATTCAACATAAATAAATGCACTAGAAAATGTAATTACAATAAAAAAACAATGGCTACTTATGCTAAACTATGGCTTGACATTCCAGTAACATTCATCAATGCAAGATTGGCTTTAGAGACATCTCTTATTTACTTATTACAAGTATTTATATAGTGCAGACAATACACACAGTACACAGTGCTTACATACTGAAGACTCACATCAGTCCGCGTCCTAAAAGGAGCTTACAATCTAAAGTCCCTATCTCACATGCATACATACACACATACACATACATACAGGGCCTATTTAGACAGGAACCGATTGCCCTTCCAGCATGTGTTTGGAGTGTGGGAAGAAACCAATGCAAGCACAGGGCGAGCATGCAAACTCCTTGCAGACAGCGACTTGACCAGGTTTTCAAACTGGGGACCCCCAGTGATGCATGAACACAGTCCGCCACAGAACAGAGATAGACCAATGAATATAGATTTTTAGAGCCAGTAGTTCTAGACTATAAACCAAAGGTTGCCCGGAAGGATAGAAATAAAAACAACAGGGGCCTTAGAAAAGTTATGGGCCAACCTTAAACCCCCAAGAGCCTTATCTGGCTCCTGGAATTGTGCCAACATGCAGACAACTAATGCAGTAATGCTAAGTCACCAATCAGATTAGCTTTTCAACGCTCCACAATCATAAAATGCTAAGAGCAGGTTATCTCCGCTGCCTCAGAGTGAGAACACATTATTCCTATCTGCGTTGTGCACAATTTATTGGAGGAGAAAGCTAAATTTTCTAAAGCAAGACTCTGACTTGACAGCTGAATGCCCGGTTGAAATGCATACTTGTGAACTGTTTCATCTGTCAAAATATCCGAGATTCTGTTCAGCCACTTTTGTGATTTACACATCTCTGCAATACTGCACAGATGAGAAGTTGACCACATTTTCTATATTACAAATGAAGGACTACAAAAGTGTCACCTCCCTGCCCTCTGTTGACTGGGAAAGAGCAGCAGCCTACTATTGAGGTCCTCAGTGTGCTTGCGACTTCTATAAGCAAGTTACCAGTGTTAGGGTCAACGTTGACTAGCTTTTTTGGGCTTCAGAATTGTGCTCTCCTCATACTAGTCTATGGGAATGCACAGGCTACTTGCAGTAGGTCATATGAGGGTCAACCACACTTTCAATGAATTCTGAATGTCCACAAATGCATCTCAAACTGATGTAAAAAAAAACAAAAAAACAAAAAAAAAACACTCTGCATTTGCACATTGAAGCCAATGGACACAGGCCTTTGAGCTGGCCATACACCTATAGATTATCTGCAGATCTTCTATGGTCAGATGGAAAAAGTGCAACAGATTCCTTCATCTACGCTAAACTGTGTGTGTGGAGGAATCTCCCACTGGGCCAAGCTTGAGTATCTTGCCAGTCGGCCCCGCTGGCTCTCAAAATACCTGAACAACGCCTGCATCCAATCAGATTGTTCAGGTATTTTGCCAGCCAGCGGGCCCGACAAGCAGATAATCTATAGGTGTATGGCCAGCTTAAGTCTAACAATACTATGCAATGCAGTTAAACATTCATTGGCTCATAGTGTTGTTCCTCAATTGCTGTGCAGAACATTAAAAGAAAGCTATTCTTAAGACAGGGTGGACAAATGTTTATGGAATCCAGGAGCCAACCTGTCCAATCCAGGAGCCAGCAGGATGTTTTATTTTTTTTTACAAGCCAGCTCCATTGACAACAACTAGAGAAAACCTTAAGGCCCCATTCACACCTGACCGTTTTGTAGCGCGTCCTACGCTCGATGAACGCTCTACAAAACGGTCAAAAAAATAAATAGCATTGTAGTCAATGGTATCGTTCCCACCTGTCCGTATTTCCGCCCGTCCCGAACGCACTACAAAACGGCCCACGCATGAAAAGGTCCCGGAGCGTTTTTTGCTGCGTATTGGTCCGTTTTGTAGGGCGTTTTCCATTTGTATACTGCCAAGTAGCCTTTGGGGTCGCGCGACTTTTTACCGCGAACCCGCGTGACAGACGCGCATATTACAATACGCATAGGTGTGAATGGGGCCTTAAAGTTAGGCGCCAGCTGGAATTTTTAAGAAGAATTGGCTAACTGGCTGAGATTGTGTCTAGCCCTGTATATACATACACTAGGGCAATCCATACGTGAAAACCAAGCCTAAACTACACTTATTCTATATAAAGACAGTTTGTATGTGTACTTTCAACCATAGTACACTGGCAATAAATCCAAATTTCCTATACAATGAACACACACAAAATCAACTTTTCTCCATTGCTTATCACAAAAAAAAAAAAAAAAAAAGAAGTATAGCTTTGCCATGTGTAAGAGTTTGGCTAACACAGAAAATTACTAGGAATAATCCTTTCAAACCACGCAACTACAAGCTACAATTAATCACAAGGCAGCTCAGACAAAGAGGACAATGAACCTACTGCTGTTCAAACTGCGCCATCCAGAATAAAATGTGATTTGTCTGTGAAGTGTAGGATAAATACATTTATACCCAACAAAACTCTTCATTAAAAAGTGTTACAAAGAAAATTACTGATCTGATAAAAGGTTACACTGAACTGACAGTGCCACGAGGAGCCGTGTTTAGCAAGTTACCTGTGTTTAGCTCCAGGGTACACTGGTTTTCATGTCGTTCATTTGGGTAATGATGCTAATCATTAACTTATGTAAACTGTGATGATACTTTCTAAGTGGAAATGGAGCATAACTAACTAGACAAGGGAGAGAAAATAAAAGGGGAGACTCGTATTTCTGGGAATTAGCCATCAGTAGAGCACTGAAAACATGGAGGCTTTTTCTACAATGCAAGTAAAGAGAACCAGTCAGGAAATCAGTCTGTGGGCTGTCAACACTGCCTGGTTGTTGAAGACGCTCCTAAGGCCCATTCACACTGAGCGACACTTACCTCGAGCAGATTTCCGCGCGGCCGGGATAGCAGGACTGTTAGGGCGACGTTCCTTCAGTCGGGCTGCATGCAAAAAAAGAAAAAGGGTCCTGCACACGGACGAGCGACAGGCGAGCTCCATAGAAAATCAATGAACGAGCGACTTCTCGCAATATCGCGCTGCAAATATGCGCGAAATCGTGGGATTAAACGCTCAGTGTGAATGGGCACTAACTCATTTATGTATCATTATTTCAAGGTTAAGTTTGCTTTTGAGACTATGTTTCATGTTACACCCATATTGAGGGTTTAACATGAACACATGCCCACCCCCCACTTACCTAAGGGCCACTTCACACCAACCACGGTGCATTCCAGAGCGGTAGCTGCTGGAACGCACAGCAAATGCACACTCAACTCCCCCCTTCCTTCTGGGGTGGGAGGGGGCGTGGCAGTGCATTGAAGTCAATGGCACCGCAGCCACACACCCCACAGTGTGATCGGACTTGTGGCAAAACATTGTCTGCATTCCGGTCACACACAAAAAATAGGAGCATGCAGTATTTTTTTTTTGCGTTCGCACTGGACCAGAATGCAGGCAATGTTTCGCCACACGTCAGATTATACTTGGTGCGGGGGGCTTGGCTGCGGTGCCATTGACTTTAATGCTCCGCCATGCCCCCTCCCTCCCCAGAACAAAGAGGGGAGTTTAGTGTGTGATTGCTGAGCGTTCCAGCAGCTACCGCTCTGGAATGCACCACAATTGGTGTGAACTGGCCCTAAATCGCAGGGTTCTTCGCCCTGCAGCATTCAGGCAGCTGTACATATATTTTTTATGAATGTGTGTGCATTTTTAATTTTTTTTTATGAATGTGTGTGCATTTATTTATGCAAAAGCAATTCCTGTCATTATAGACATGAAAAGATACAAATTAGTGCACCTCTGTAATTATTAATAAGACATGACAGTTAATTTTTGCAGCTTGTGTCAGTATCTCAATTTGCAATCCAACATACAGCAGCACACAGGCTTGAAGAGGGACAGGAGAACTGGAAGCCAATGAGGTATACTGCTAAGAAAAGGGCAGTGAACAGAAGGATGACCTAGTCAGTCTGATGCTGCTTTTTCACTGTCCAGTCAAATGTCTGGGGGTTGAGAGATAACACAACTGTATCAGTTACCTGTAAGTGGTGTCATTCACTTGGAAGTGATGTGTGATGAGGCTGTGTAAATCACAGGAGAGGATGAGACAAATCCTTTGGCAGGTAAAACAGCACCCACATATGTACAGTATTTCATATATATGTATTTAGTCGTTTGCCTGGACTTCAGCATAATAAGTCTTTCCAACTCAAGTACATGTACAAGGCCAGCTAAATCTCACAAATTACAATCAGATCAACAAACAATTGTATGGGAACCTATAGAGACCCCTGGCTGACCACCAATCAGAAATCAGTCCTCAGGTTGAGATTTTATCAATCAACTGCTTCGGAGGATGGAGGTCAATGCATATACATTGACAATCAAGCTGTTGTAAGCTTTCACAGTTATGTAATTGTCCTCCTTTGTGCTAACGTCTGTCAAAAAGCCAAACAGGATTGTACACATTGGCCTACCTTGAATGAGTGATGATGCCAACAGTGTAACCCAATAGAGGCAGGAACAGGCAGGATATGCATCTAAATATGTAAAATTGTCATTTTTTTAGCTGAAATGGAAGGACCTATTACAACGTAGTAAAGCAATTTGTAAAGTCGGTGAAGGTGCCTAGGCACCCTCTGTTCCTCTAACCTCAGAGGAGCCTATCGCCAATTTTATATCATCAGAGGCATATCCCACGAGCGCCTGCCTCCACTGGGTTACACCGTTGGCATCATCAGTGGACGGATCTAGGATCAAAATATGGTGGCCTCTTTGGCATCTGCACAGTCACATGTAATAGATGGCAAAGTGAACCAAGGCAAACAAACAACTACACAAGGACAACTGGGAGTGCCACATCTTTCACAACTGATTTATCTTGAAACGTTTG